AATAGCGCGCGTATTTTATAACAATATTTAATTCCCAAATAGATCCCTTATACCCAACATCCTCGATTCTCGAATCCTCATTAATTTTAAATCGCAATCTTGAAAATCACGAATCTCCGACTGTATAAACATTTACAAATTGATTTTACAGAAAATTACTATTTTTTAAAATCATTATTGTGCAATTACGTGTTACAATTCGCGCATTCGATGTGTGAGAGAGAAAGGAAGATGCGTGTGATCTAATAAAAGTAGTCCACTAACTCTGGATTGGATTCAATACTGCAGTTTGCGCGATCATTATTCCTAATTGGCCAGCTCCTTTCTTTAATGCTCGCATTGTTGGATAATAGGCGTTTCTCGGATTTATAAAAGAATGCAATATCGTGAGGATTCCGCGCGATGGCGGAGCAGCAGTTACGATTAGATTAGGCACGTTAAAAGAAACGCTGCGGAAATTAAAATTTCAGACAGAACGTGGTACGTTATGAAATTGGACGGATATTGTCGGCGATATTATTACAGTTTTTATAATCTTATTTCGAATTTCTTGCAAGAGTCCCGCAATGTACCGTAATTGCACGCTCGATATAATTGCGAGCAATTACTGTTAATTACTGTTTAATATGAATTAAATTGTTCTGACGTCACACGCGGCGAGGGCTTGATCATTTTTCGAATCGCGTGTGACTGTAATTACGGGCCGAACGTAATTATGAGTAATTATCGGTAATTATTTAGTGATCCGAGGTCGATTGTCGCTCGGCGCGCGGAATTGAAAAACCATTTATAAAACTTCTGACAAGGAAATTCCTCATAATCGTCGATTTCGCGAAATTATACTGGGCACGATAGATACGAAGTGTTACAAAGTATAATTATCAAGAATTATTTCGAGCTACGTAATTAAAATTTCAAGGTAAAAGTTTATAAAAAGATACGAGTATTTTTCTTAAGAGAGTAGGTCAATATGTATAATAAATAGAAAACTGCAGACACACATACGAATTTTATATCTCGACGGTATTAGCAGTTCAATTTTACATAATTGTGACATACTTATTTATACAGCTATACATTAATTTTATTTATAGTTGGAAAACTGCAGACACACATACGAATTTTATATCTCGACGGTATTAGCAGTTCAATTTTACATAATTGTGACATATTTATTTATACAGCTATACATTAATTTTATTTATAGTTGGGTGTCTCGAGAAATTGAGACTGAACTCTCATTCTGCAGGAATACGCGTGACCGGTATTATTGACTCGCAATGCGGTATATCGGTGATTATTACACCAATCAATTCGCGTCCGAAGGCAGGGAGGGTTCGCGGATGGCGTGGCGAAAGGCTTTAATTACGTGCGTCTCGGCGATGACGAAGACAAATACCTAAGTGTGATTGCCAGTAGTAAACTCGTCGAGTTTTCGATCAGCTGTGGTACCACCGTGACTAAAGTTCCCCGACGTGCCGGCCGCGCGATGCGAGTAACGTTGCCCGTTACCGCCCGGACGTGATTGAGTTGCACCGGATTCGGAAAGATCGTTTTGTGTCATAGCGCCGACGATTCGATTAAAAAAAAAAAAAACTTTCGTTTCCTCGCCATTGAATTACATGTATTTCTCCCTCGGCTAGCGAACGTGAATTACTACGCGCTTCTGCGGCACTATGCCAACAATTGAATTTAAATTTGTATTTCGTGATACTTTACACATCGAAGCTGAATATTTCTTCTCTAAAAGTTTCATGTAGACAATATACATAAATATTTCAAATAAATAAAATATTAATATTTCATGTATAAAAAATTCATATTATGTATATAATTTACATTTCTGCTAATTACAATCAATTGTATTTAATTGATATCTGACTGATAAACAGTTACATTTAATAGAACTAATTTAGATTTTGAAAAATCTTTTTTATTTTATATACAATAATTTTATATTTTGACCATTAGATGTGTTCTTTTTCTGTTCACATATGTTCTTGTCTTAATTTATTAATTTTTATTTACTGACTGAAGATGATTAATTATAAATTAAGTTCGAAACGTTTCATCAAAATTTCTAAGATTAATGTGATTAATTCTTATAAATAAAATATTATTTCAAATTGTGACCTAAATTTTCCTCATTCAATTAAGCTGATTTATCATTTTAGTTGCTCACAAAAACACGAACTGCTTCTTTTTATTATTAGTTTATATTTTGATTTTAAATATATATATTCTTCTATCCTTTTAATTATTTCACTGTCTATAACTGTTTTTTCGCAAGTGCAAATCGAATGAAAAAATTATCATAAGTAAAAGAAGAAATGAAATTGTAATATAAAATGTTAAAGCTGCACAATTTTTTTTTGCAAAAAAAAATTTGCGAAGGCATTACAAAAAAAACGAATGATTTGAATGAATTTGAAATACTATTCGTGAAGAAACGGATTTCCTACGCGCTCCCGAAAAACTTATTAATCTTGGTTAACTGCAATCCATTCTTCAATTCGCATCCTGGAATATCCGGCGGCTCAAGGGCAACTCCTCCTTATAGGCGAGGACTGTCGATCTTCTACGCTTTCGCTCAGCAATCTGTCTCTCGAAACCGACAGCGGCGGCGGCGGCGGCAGCGGCGGCGGGCGGGTGTCACGCCTAGTAGCCGCGGCTAGCCGCGTCGGGAGAAATTTTAATAAACGGTTCCCCGGGTTTTACCGGCGATGCCCGGCCGCATCACACGTGCATATAGTCACGCACGCACCTACGCGGCAAAGTGTGTGGAGGTGTTGCCTGGTAGCCGGCAGGACGACGCGGACCCGGGGGAGAGAGGTTAATCACCCACGCTGGATTTTAATAAACGGTTCGGGGGGCAAACAAAGCTGGCCATCAATAACCACGGCGCTGCCTCTCGCGCGCGCTCTCTCTCTCTCTCTCTCTCTCCCTCTTTTTCACTCATTCTCTCTCATTCCCATCTCTCTTTCTCTCTCTATCTCTCTTCCTCCATCCCAGAGCACCGGGGGCCCCCACGGCCCACCTCGCCGCCTGACCGACCCGCGGCCATGCCAGGGCCTTTGCCACCAGCTTGTCGAGTCTCGCAAGCGGACAGCGAGATAGGCGGAGATTGTATCTCCGTGGTTATTAATTAACCGGCGAGAAGGGAAGGCCCCCTTTCATCACCTCGCAAACGATCTCGCCTTCAGCGAGAGAGGGCCCTCGGCCTTGCCCTAGCATATAGATGGGCATGTACAGCCTGGGGACCTCTCTCTCTCTTTCTCTCTCTCTCTCTCTCTCTCTCTCTCTCTCTCTCTCTCTCTCTCTCTCGATACAAGTACTCCGAGCTTTGCGCATATACGGAGGGAATCATCATGCGGAGAAGCTGTCAAAATTATGTGTATTGTCGAGATGCTATATTAGCCATTGCAGAGATTCTACGATTATCGAACCACGTGTTCTTGTTCGCGCACTGTTTTGCTACTCTACATACCGAAACTACGTGCACGGAAAGAACAATTTTGCTGGATCCAGATCTGAAAATAATTTTTGTTCAATAATCAAAATAATTTTGTGCGAGTGTTAAAATGATTGCTAGAATATCAAAACGTTTTGTAGCAATGCTTATCAGTTTTAACATTCCAACAAATTATTTTGATGATTCAACAAAAAATTATTTTCAAATCTGTAGCAAAATTTTTAGACCTTTCAACAAAATCGTTTTTTCCGTGTGAATGATACGGAATATTAATAAACTTATAAACGCGAACACAGCGTTATTTTATTTTTACTCAGGAAATTTTGTACACGGAAAGAACGATTTTGTTGAAAGGTCTAAAAATTTTGCTAAAAACAGATCTGAAAATAATTTTTTGTTGAATTATCAAAATAATTTGTTGCAATGTTAAAACTGCAGATAAGCATTGCTATATAAAACGTTTTGATATTCTAACAATCATTTTGACTTTCGCACAAAATTATTTTGATTATTAAACAAAAATTATTTTCAGATCTGGATTCAGCAAAATTGTTCTTTCCGTGCAGCAAAATAAATAAATAAAATAAAAGTAGTCAATAATACTTGGCTTTTATTGGCTATTTTTCTCTTTTCATATGAATTACACACGGAAAGAACAATTTTGCTGGATCCAGATCTAAAAAAAATTTTTGTTCAATAATCAAAATAATTTTGTGCGAAAATCAAAGTGATTGCTAGAATATCAAAACGTTTTATAGCAATGCTTATCATTTTTAACATTCCAATAAACTTTTTTGATGATTCAACAAGAATTAATTTTCAAATCTGTATTCAGTAAAATTTTTAGACCTTTCGACAAAATCGTTCTATCCGTGCAAGATTCCGTTACATGACATACAACAATTAGGCAAGAATTTTTATTATATTGATTGTTTTAGCGAATACTGTATTTTGTTAGAATTGAAAATATTATGTTACCGCTGAGGATGATATAGTCGAGGATCAAAACGTTTGCCTTGTTATTCTATTTGCATGAATGTTATAATAAAAATAAGTACATACATAATGTTATATAATTAGCACGATTATTCAGCTTGACCTACTAATCCAAGCTTGTTTTTTAAAAACTATTTGTTAGATTTAGAATTTAATAAACCTATATATGGATTGATATTAAATTTTTTTTCTCTTTTTTTCTTATATGTCGATTTTAATTTTTATCTCTGCGTTGAGGAGATATCAGAAGTACATACAGATAAGCAAAAAAACTGAAGTGTCCCTCGCGTTTTATCAACTGTTTAAAAATAATACCTACTCGAATCGTATTAATAACGACGCGCGAGAAGTATAAAAGTAGAAGATTTACGTTCTTTCGAGCAGCGCAATGTCATCGGCAAACGCGATCGTCCTCTTCCTTATGGAATTTGTAGAAGGAAGTGAAATCAGATCCGCAGCGAGAGATCCGCGCGTCGCGATATCGAGGTATCTCGCGGAAAAATCAATACGAAACGGCGTAATGGGCACTTACCCGTTTATGGACGTTCGACTGATGAACCAGGATAACGCCGACCTGGCTAACGAGTGCCAGGCCTGCAGGGGCAGCGAGTCGGATCTCTCCGAGGATCTCACGAGGAAAATTTCGGCGGCTTTGTCGGGCTGGTCGGCGTTGGGGCCGGTGCCGAGCGGGACCCACAAATCCAGCAGATCCTCTCTGATCTTGGTTTTGTCTACCTTGTACCACTGTAAAGATAAAGGCGTAATTGTTAGCCTCGCTCTCGTCCTCACTTGATTTTATATTCGCCGGCTTATCAAATAATTAATGATTAAATAATGAAATTAATGTAAATTTACCGTAGCAAGATTCTTTCTACACAAATATTTTTCGCCTTTATATTTTAGTGTTAGTAGGCAATAACTCGGTTAATAAAAAATAATCGTCATAGAAGCAACGTGATATTATATAAGTGCACGGAAATTTAAGAACAATTTTAATTAAAGTACAATAATTTAATTAAAATAATTTTACTTTATATTTTTTAATTAATGTGTAATTCATAATTTTATATCTACATGGAAAGGACGATTTTGCTGGAAGGTCTAAAAATTGCGATCTGAAAATAATTTTGTTGGAAAGTCAAAAATAATAAGTAAGCATTGCTGTAAAACATTTTAATATTAGCAATCAGTTTGAATTTCAACAAAATTATTTTGATGGTCCAACAGGAATTATTTGTATCTGTATTCAGTAAAATTTTTAGACCTTCCAGTAAAATCGTTCTTTCCAGAGTAGATATAAAATTACACATTAATTAAACAATATGTAAAGTAAAATTATTTATTTTACTTAAAATCGCAAGTTACAATTACGCAAAAATTGTTATAACTAAAAATACTTAAATTAAAATAACTAAAAATTATTATAAAATTTACGAACTCGAATTTTATCTTCTATAGCGAATCCCCTTAGATTTACATACAAGATTTTATATAGTATCTTTCTACATGTAATATCTTCATATTAATGTACCATATAAAAAAAAAAAAAATAATGTAGCCGGGGATAACAAGAATTGATTTTCTCGGAATGTTGCGTAATCTTGCCGGCGAAATTATTTGATCGCTAAAATCATCTTGCTGTATAAAGTACATCAATTTGCGGGGATAAAATTCGTGAAGTTCCAAGTATATATTCCATTAACGTCCCACCGGGCGGGCCGCCGAAAATGTATTTCTCGCTTCATTACGGCCGCCGTATTACGGTATTAACGATATACGTATATATCCCTCGGTCGCGCGGGATCAATTTTCCCCCCTCGAAGCTCTCTCCCTCTCCCCCCTCTCTCTCTCTCACACACACACATTTCAAGAGTTTGCGTAATTACGCGCTGCTGGGTTCCTTCTTTCATTTTTTTTCTCCCCCTCGCGCGCGAGCTTCTCTCCAGCAAAACACACATATCGGTGGTCGTCGAGGGACGGGAGGACGCGGCATCGCCGGAACACGTCGATGGTATTCGGTATATACGGACGACGCGAAGTTTCGACACGCACGTTAATGCGCGAAAAAAAAATAAATAAATAAGAACCCACGAAATGTTATATTTCATTAAGGCGTGCCCGTATATACGACCGAGGGGACGCACCGCGGCGTCCGTCGAACATTTTTCGCTTCATTATCGGAGCCGCGTATCGCAGCATTAACGATTCTTTTCTCACCCGCCGCGCCGTCTCTCCTCGTGTGTCCTCGTTCTCGTCCTCGAGGAGAACCGCGAAACGCCACACAGTCCGAAAAGCAATTACGTTGACCGGTCGATCGGTTGGTCGGTCCACCGGGCCTTACGCTACACGACAGATATCCGATTTCACCGTCAGCTTCCGAGAATGAGAACCAATTACGCGGCCCCGGGGCATTAAGGAATCGATCTAATTTGCGCGCGCGCTCGGCGGCGCGGCGCGGTGCGGCGCGGCGCGGCGCGGAGCGGAGCAGCGGCTCTTAATGGCGAGAGAGCCGGCCGATGAAATTATACGAAAATGTAATCAAGGCGCTTTTTGTCTCGTTTCGCTCCGAGCGGGGCAGGGGCGTAATTAGGAATGCTTTTGCGCCTCGCGACGGGGGACACTTGTTGCTCTCGGCTCTCCGCCGCTCTCCTCTCCCGCTCCCTCATTTTCTCTCGCCGCGTCTCGCTTCTCCTCTCCTTTTTTTCCTCCCCCCCTTTCATTTCACCCTTCTTCCTTCCTTCCTTCCTTCCTTCCTTTTCCGTCCTTTTCCATCCCCCATTCTCTCCCGCGATCGTCTCTCCCTTTTTCCCGCGCGCGTTCCTCATTCCTCTCACCGAGAAACATTCCTCTCCTTCTCCCGCTCTCGCGCGCGCGGCACTCCGGTAGTCGAGCGAGCTCGAAAAAGGATGAAGGGGCCGGCGGGAGGAAAAAAAAGCCGGGAGATGGAAGGACCTCGCCACAGAAGGAGAGTAATTAACACCGTGGTGCCCAGGTGCGCGCGGGGCCCTAAGAAGTCGTTTATGGATCGCCCGGTTGCCGCGGCCGCGTAGCCGGCCATCAATTAGATTCTCTAATTAAAACAGTCCGCTCTTCTCGCCGCGGCGGCGGCGCGGTGCATTAACTCTGGGCTCCGCGCCCCGCACCGAAGTCCCACACCCGATCGACTTTGTCATCGTCCACCGGGCGGAGGCGCGACGGATCGTCGCGTTTCTTGTTCGAGTAGCCGGAGACGGGAGTGCAGCCTGCCACCGGCATTCGACAAGACCCCGCGATATAACACCTCGAGCTACTTGCGGTATGAGAATGTGGAACTTTCGCAAAACGTACGCCGCGGCTCTCGATCGATGCCGGATGAGTAATCGTGTTTCACTTACGAGCCTTCCCTCCCCCCCCCCTCCGCCCTTCTACAAGTTCTCTCCTTCAAGGATGAAACCTTTTTGGATGATTCAAAATATTTTCGTAATGCACAATGAATCGCGGAATTTAACGTAATCTTACTTGTAATTGCACTTTTGCAATTTCACTCGCGAGATTTTATTTTCGGACGTGAATCCTGTTAAAGAAATGCAACGCATGCATTCCAATGTTCACCAGTAGTCTTTTCGTAGTTTTGTCGAATAAAATATATTTTACATCGTACATATAAATCAGATCAGAATGCTGCATTATTACAGCATGTTAATATAATTTACAACATTAATTAATAATTATATATGTATATCATTAATAGAATTATTAATTAATATTATAAATTATTAATTTTCTTATTATCTTTTTTTAAATTTTTACATGGAAAGAACAATTTTACTGAATCTAGATTTGAAAATAATTTTTGTTTAATAATCAAAATATTTTTGTGCAAAATATTTTTGTCAAAATGATTGCTATAAAGTAATAAAACGTTCTATAGCAATGTTTATCAGTTTTAACATTCCAGCAAATTATTTTGATGATTCAACAAAAAATTATTTTCAGATATGCATTTGACAAAATTTTTAGATCTTTCAACAAAATCGTTCTTTCCGTGTAGAATTAGAAAAAAGTGAGTTAAACCAGAATTAAAGGTTAAAATTTGCGTTGGTAAAAAAACAAGCAAAAAACAATCTATTTTTTTTTATTTTAAATCTAATTTAAAAGCTTTAATAAAGTATTTTATAGCTAAAGCGGCGTCTACAATGAAACTTAAGACTTAAGATTTAAGAAAATTGACCAATCATAGTCTATTATTATTCATCTCACGTGAGAAAAATAGTCGATTGTAATTGATTAATTTTCTTAAATTTTAAGTCTCATTGTAGATACCGCTTGACGTTCTTGATCCGCGTTTTTATCTAAAGATACAAATATCTTTATCTTTCACGATACACTCAACTTTCGACGCTTCTTCTGCCTTCCTCGGCGTAAAGGCAAGCACCGTCTCGTGGATCAACCCAAAGGTAATACCGAAACAAAGAAGTCCGGCGGCGCGTGGAAGTGCGAAGGCGCGGCGCGCACCACTTCGCGGTGCTCGCGACACACGGCGTAAAGAGGACGCCGCGCGTGCAATTTTAATTATGGCTACCAGCGTGTGTCGCTAATTGCAGGTAGCCCAACGCCGCTCACCCCACGTCATCACACTTTGATTCGACTTTTTCCCTCGGGGGCATTACAAATGGCTATACCCCGACCGCGGTCGCGCGCGCTGCCGGAGCAGCATTCCTCTTCGTGTCATTAGTGGCGACTTTCTGCGCGCGCGGGACGAGGGGAGGAAAGGACCTAAAGGGAAGGAAGGAAGGTAGAGGATCCGGGAGACGTGTGGCGGGAGTGAGAAACGCGGGACGGAGAAACGAGAGACAATCGAGTGCTGGCTACCTCCCGTGTGCTGCCTTCCGCGTAGCCGTGTAGCCACGCACCAATCGCGCCTCACGGCGCAACCGACAACAAGTAGCCGACTCGGAAATCGCAGCCATCTAAATCAACGTCGCGCGTTCACCGCGACGAACCGGGCAAAATAACGCCGGGGGGAGAAAAGATCTGACGCCCTCGACCTCGAGATCTCCTCGCGAGATACGCGTTGCCGCGCCGCGCATTCACGCGTCATTTAGATGAAGCACGAATTTGAGATTTTTCGTAACACACTTTACGAGTGTGTTTAACACGTTGACCTCCACGTTGTACATATAATCGAGTAATTTTATCGCAATGTCATTTTTACATATTAGCATGATGTTATTTTAATATATGCTGTATTTAAGGCTCGCGGTCATTATTTTTATCTCAGAAGCGAGAAAATAACACACGGAAAGAACGATTTTGTTGAAAGGTCTAAAAATTTTGCTGAAAACAGATTTGAAAATTAATTCTTGTTGAATCATCAAAACATTTTGTTGGAATGTTAAAAATGATAGGCATTACAATAAAACGTTTTTATGTTTTAACAATTATTTTGACTTTCCTACAAAATTATTTTGATTACTGAACAAAAATTATTTTCAGATCTGGAAGCAAAATTGTTCTTTCCGTGTACAATAAGCATAATAAAAATTCTTGCAAAATATATTCGAATAGAAAGATTTTTCAATAAAACATTTGCAATCGATAGAGAATAAATAGACTGTACACGGAAAGAATAATTTTGTCGAAAGGTCTACAAATTTTGCTGAAAACAAATTTGAAAATTAATTCTTGTTGAATCATCAAAAAATTTTGTTGGAATGTTAAAAATATTAAGAATTACTATAAAACATTTTGATATTCTATAGCAA